AGCAAACATGGACACTAGTGCATGTTTACAACTTTGAAAAGATCTTCATCTTTAAAAGAAACAAGTTTAGGGGCTGGTGCTGTGGCCCAGCAGGTTAATGCCCTGGGCTGAAGAGCTGGCATCCTATATGGGAGGCGGTTCAAGACCTGGTTGCTCCTCTTCCAATCCAGCTCTCTGCTATGGCCTGGGAAAGCAGTAGAAGACCTCTCTCTCTCTCTCTCTCTCTCTCTCTCTCTCTCTGCCTCTCCTCTCTCTGTGTAACTCTGACTTTCAAATACATAAAGAAATCTTTAAAAAAAAAATCCAGTTCTCTAAAAAAGAAACAAGTTTAAAGCATATCAAAGACATGTAAAACTGAGCAAGTGATCCAAGCAAACTGAAGGACATTTGCATTCACCCAATTTTCTGAACCAATCTGTATTGGTTTACTTTAATTAACAACATAAAGGCTTGTATACCTAGAATTTACTCTCATTTTTATAAGACCACTCTAGCTGGAAAGCAAGAACATGAATACAACATAGGTCTTACATCATTTACAACATTTTAATGCATTTTACATAATTTGAATTGACTTAAAAAGCTGTTACTTTATCAAATTTAGAGTCTTCTCCTTTGAGAATTCCAGGGATCCTACTGGAAGCCTCAAAATTGGAAGACTCAGTTTAGGGCTTAAACTATCAGAGAGTCAAACTATTTAGCCAAAAATTAGTATGTTTAACCTTGAAAGGAACGGCTGAGAGCCGAGAGCCAAGAGCCGCCATAAAAAAATGGCCTTAATGAAACAGTCCTGGGAAATGGGGAGTAAACTAAGTTCACAGAGAAAGCAGATAGCTACTACCCAGAGATAAGGGCTACTACCCAGAGATAAGGGCGACAGAACATCCTGGTACGCACATAAGCCCCCTCCCCTGTGCTTGTTCAAGCTTAACAAAGAAACCGTGAGGCACGTAGGGCACGTAGCCACCCCTTTCTGCTCTTCAATGACCCCCTCCCCTTGTCCAAGCTTAGACACGTAGGGCACGTAGCCCCCGTTTCTCCTCCTCCTCGACGACCTCCTCCCCTTGTAGTTACCCAATAAACTTACGCCACCCTATGGTATGTTAATTTTGTGGTTTTGCCCCTGAAAAGCTGTGTGAGATAGCTGTTCGGGGCTCCTCTCTCTTGCTCGCTGCTTGTGGCAGCAGAGGGCCCATTTGCGCAAATGAAATAAAATTACCTCCTGCCTTTTGCATCGTCTGGTCTGGAGTCTGTGTTTCTGGGGTCGTCACAAAAGGACACCACTTTTGGGGTCCTACAACCTGAGCATTTTAACTAGTGTTAAGGTAATTACTCAAGCATTAAAAACAGGCAAATAATGTAAACAACTTCGCCTTGCAGTTTTCCCAATCAAGACTCAGTACTGGCAATAGAAAAACACAAAACCTTCAAGACATGTGCAAACTCTCATCAGATAAGTTAGCTACAGCAGCACAGAAAAGAGCTGATCATCAGTGTATGAGCCCATTGCTTAGGTTTTCATTAACTGCAAAGAGAAAGACACATCAGGTTGGAAAGGGTTAATGGATTAAGGTTCTAGCTCCCTTAGGTAAGGCCAGTAGTAGCCAGAGGCATTTCCCCTCCCCCCTCCTAGTGAGGAGGGGTATTGAATTGGAAATAGAGAGGAAAAAAAAGCAGCCCCCCCCCCCCAGCACTCTCACCAGAGATGTCTGGCCGTGCCTATGTGGGTGCAGCAGGCCACGTTGACTAGAATAGTGTGCAGAGAAAGGCCATGGTGCCCCCTTTACAGGGAAGACGGTGCACGCCAGGGCCTAGCAGGACTGGCCGTGGGATTGGGTAGGCGCTCTGTTTCACCAAGAGTGCTGGGAACCTCATATAGCAAATCCTTTTTAACACAACAGAAGTTCGCATTTGCCTAGTCTAATTAAAATGGCCACGAAGCTGAGATCTTAATCTATTCAACTCGAATATTTCAACCAAAGCCAGATCCAATCAGGGCTACTACAATCAGTCAATTAAAAACAGATAGTTATCTTTAGCTCCTTTCCAGATTCAGTCCTCAGGCATTCAAAGCTTAGCAACAGTAACAGCACACAAAAACTTTCAGACGCACCAGAGCTACCATAAGCTGCAAAGACATTTATCGGGTTGGAAGGGTTATTGGATCAAGACTTTTCCCTTGTGGAATTTCCCTCTCCCTTCCTCGAGGCAAGCGCTATAGAAACAGATATGAGGAGCACAAGGAGAGGGGGAGGGAGACCGGGAGGAAGTGGGAAAGCGACAGAGGACATGTTGTGTGTTACTGCCCTCATCTCCCCCCAGAAATCTCTGGCCAACTACTTCTCCTAATCACCCTCCCATTTCTTACAGTCCCTCTGGAGTTTCGGCTGTAGCTAAGCCATGGCCGGGGTGGGGGGGGACTCCGTGTTCTTGGAGAGCTGTGGGGTGCCGGACACTCAACAGTCACTTCCACAGATCCGGTCCCGCTTGAGGGAAGGAATACGGACCTTCAATGTCTTCTTAAAATCCCTTCGTGGTTGCCAAAATGTTACCGGTAAAATGCAGGGTTCTTGTTTTCCTGCAAGAAAGAATTCAGGCATGAGACAGAGAGTAGTGGGAGGCAAAATAGCAAGGTTTATTAGGGAAGGGACATCCGTAAGAACGGATGGGCACCTCTCCAGACAGGACCTGAGAGAGAGTGCCCAGTCACTCAGACTGGGGGAAAGATCGAGGTTACATGGTTGAGTGGAAAGAGTACACCTGGGCAGGCCAGGTGGGCAGCTCAGCATAAAGGCAGAGGGCTGAGTGCGCAGTCTGGTTGAGGCCAGGGGTTTTTAAGGGGATGGGTCTTGCTTTCCCACCTCTGCTCCTCTTGGAACAAAGGACTTCTTGGATGTAAATACTAAAAACTCCTATCTGAGCTTTCCCCTGAAGTTATCAGATGGGTTGCCCCAGTTAGAGGAAGGATGGTTATTGGGTAGAAGATACTGGGCTGCCCCTGAAACATTATCGGGATGACCTTGAGATGCAGATGCTGGACCCAAATGTCTACTTAGGCCTTTGTCACACACACATAAGCTCATACCTGACTTCCTATCTAACAGAAGTGACTCAGTTTAGATAGGTGTTCATGGCACTAGTTCTTAAGGTGCAGTTACGTATTTTGTTTGACTATTTGCTTTTCTTTCATCTTTATCACTCATTTCAACTTTAAGAAAAGTGATTGTAATCTTGTACTTTCAAGTGTGTGGAGCCAGGTTGGGGTTTTCTTGTTTGGGCTTCTTCAAAAATGTTTTTCTATCATGAAGAATATGGTAACTTCAACTTCAAAAAATATTTTTTTACCATCAGATAATGAAGACAGGAGATAAACTTTAGGAGTACAAACAAAAGTTGGTTTAGGCATGTGAGATTTGTATGTGGATTCAAACTGATGAAGTCCTGTAAAAAGTCAACACAAGTGAAAGGGTTTTTTTCTGAAAGATTATTTGGATGAAACAAACAAGAAAACCAGTTAATTGGGAAGATAATAGGAATCGACTCAGGTTGATGGGAGACTCGATGTGTAGATTCTGCTCTTTTTTAGATCTTTCTTTCTTTTTTTCTTTCCTTCTTTCTTTTTGACAGGCAGAGTTAGTGAGAGAGAGAGAGAGAGAGAGAGACAGAGAGAAAGGTCTTCCTTTTTCCATTGGTTCACCCCCCAAGTGGCTGCTATGGCTGGCGCTGCGCCGATCCAAAGCCAGGAGCCAGGTGCTTCCTCCTGGTCTCCCACACGGGTGCAGGACCCAAGGACTTGGGCCACAGCAGAGAGCTGGACTGGAAGAGGAGCAACCGGGACAGAATCCAGTGCCCCGACCAGGACCAGAATCCAGGGTGCTGGCGCCGCAGGCAGAGGATTAGCCTATTGAGCCACGGCGTGGCTTATTATGTGTACTTTTAACATCTTAAATGCTGTAGGGGAGACTTTGTGTTTGTTAGCATGTATTCTCATAGGTTGTCTATACATGACAATTCAAGACTATGTAACTATGGGTGTAAATTTCAGAAGGTGTGAGCAAGTCATAAAAAGTTTTAAGAAAAGTTTACAATTTTAAAACATTGTTCATAGAGTTTTCTTTTTTAAAAAGATTTATTTATTTATTTGAAAGTCAGAGTTACACAGAGAAAGAGGAGAAGCAGAGAGAGAGAGAGAGAGAGAGAGAGAGGTCTTCCATCTGCTGGTTCACTCCCCAATTGGCTGCAACGGCTGGAGCTGTGCTGACCGGAATCCAGGAGCCAGGAGCTTCTTCCAGGTCTCCCATGCGGGTGCAGGGTCCCAAGGACTTGGGCCATCTTCTTTCTGCTTTCCCAGGCCATAGCATAGAGCTGGATCGGAAGTGGAGCAGCCGGGTCTCAAACTGGCATCCATGTGGGATGCTGGCGCTTCTGACCAGGGCGTTAACCCGTTGCGCCACAGCACCGGCCCCAAGTTTTCTACAAGTTGAATGTGAATGCCAAAATTACATTGACCCAAGATTGAAGTCCAATCTTCTGTTATGACAACGAGGTTTTTGAAAAATGCATATTAATATGTTAGTAAATATCCATATCATTGCTTGGTTCCAGTCCTGGCTGCTCTACTTCTTTTTTTCTTTTAAATTTTTATTTATTTAAAAGAGTGACACAACACACACACACAGAAAGAGGTCTTCCATCTGCTGGTTCACTTCCTCACTTCCTTTGGGTCTCCCACAGGGGTGCAGGGGCCCAAGTACTTGGGCCATCTTCTGGCCCAGGCCATAGCAGAGAGCTGGATTGGAAGTGGAGCAGCGCCTCACTGTTACCTTACAACCATATCTTGGATCCGTTATTGGGTTTGTTCTTGTTAGCTGTTATCTTACTCGGACCAGCGCCCATATGGGATGCCGGCACTGCAGGGGGCAGCTTTACCAGCTATGCCACAGCGCCGGCCCCGGCCCCACCTGCTCTACCTCTAATCCAGCTTCTTGCTAATGTGCCTGGGAAGGCAGCAGAAGATGGCTTTGTCTACGCAGCCGGAGCTCGGCCAGCGCCGCCCCGCCTCGCCTGTAGCCCCGCCCCCCGCCCCGCCCCCCGCCCCGCCCCGCGCCTCCCCGCGCACCCGGAACTCCGCGTCGCAGTCGCGTTGCTGGAGGGGCGAATTTGGTCCCGGACTCTGCGCCCTACGCGGGTTCCGGCGGCGAAGGCGGAGCATGGCGGTGAGCGTGGAGGAGGCGCGCGCGCTGCGGGCCCCTGGGCTGCTGGCGGCCTCCAGTGACCCTGATGCTGCCCTCTTCTCTTCAGGCCCCAGGACGTCCTGCTCGCGAGGCCTCTGCGGCCTCAGGCTCAGGTACCGCCTGCGCGCCACGCAGACCCCGGGCCCCTGGCGCGGTTCCGGTGCCCCGAGTACTTCCCCTGTTTCCGTGCAGGGCGACCCACGTGCGGTGCCGCCGCCCGCAAAGCGAACCCCGCAGTCTCTGAGGGCAGTGCCGCCTCCAGGAAGTCCAAGAAGAAAATCCGGGACAGGGCTCCTGCGGCGAACGGAGGCCAGACGGCTTCGGAGCAGCCCGCTCCAGAGGAAGCCTCGCGAAGTGCCGAGGCGCAGGCAAGGGGGTCTCCCGGTGGCGTCTAGAAATCAGCCTTGTGGAGGCAAGGAAGGGCCTGGGGCGGCAGGTCCCGGTGCCGGCCCTCAGCCCCTCTCTCCACCCGTCTCAGGCGGAGCAGCTGGCCCGAGAACTGGCCTGGTGCGTGGAGCAGTTGGAGCTGGGCCTCCAGACGCGGAAACCCACCCTGAAGCAGAGTGAGTGGGGGTGTGGCGGTGGCGGCGCTGGGTGAGAGGAGGTGGGTACAGAGCGGGGGACTGGCCTTTTCTCTCATGCGCAGGAGAGCAGGCTGTCGGGGCCATACGAACCCTGCGCAGCGACAGGACGCCCCTGCCCCGGAAGCGGCAGCTGATGCGTGCCCTGTTTGGAGACTACAGGGCTCAGATGGATGCCGAGCGTCTGGAGGCCCTGCGGTCTCTTAGGGCTGGTGAGGAGCTTTGCGTTTTGGGATGTCCGGTTCAATAGAGAGGAAGGGCTTAGGGAGTGCATCTCTGACGCTGGTGGGGATGGAGTTGAGCTCAGGGAAGCCTGGGCGGGGCGGAAGTGTGGAGCCCTCTGCAAAGCAGAACTGGGCCTGGGCGCAGGGGGCAGAGGTTCTCGGAGGGGAAGGAGCCTGGCCCACAGCTGGCCCTGCCTCACCTTCCATGCAGCAGTTAGTAAGTCCTGGAACCAGCCATCCACCTTGCTCCAGTCCTGAAGCTACCACTTAGGTCGTTAGCACCCTTGGCAAGTTCCGGTTCTCTCCGTGATTCTGTAAGTCATGATAGGAACTGCCTTAGGATTCTCAAGATCAGTTGATTTCTGCTGAGGGTCAGGGTTGCATGAGCAGTCGTAACTGCACAGGTGCTGTTTGCTGTTACTCAGTCCTGACTCTGATGCCCTCTGCCCCCCCCCCCCCCAGCTGCTCGGTCTGCCCAGGTGCAGCCTGTGGGTGAGGCCACCAGAAAGAAGAGCCGAAAGGTCTGCAGGCCACGTCCAGTGGGAGGCGCCAAGGCCACTGTGGATACTCCTGATGAAGAGTTTAGGTTCAATTTCTTTTAGCCTCTCCCCCATCAAAGAACAACCCCGGGATGTTGTCTTGAGTGCAGAGACTTTCCAGGAGGTCTCTGTTGGCAGAGGTCAGCTTCGTCTACAGCAGGGCTGTTGGGCTGCTGTGAGTGTCAGACAAGTGCAAGCCCCCATTTGTATGTTTTTGGATGACATGCCCCTCCTGGCATGAGAGAGAGAGAGAGGAAAATCTACAGGAAACAGAAATGAGTGTCATGAAAAGAATAATGTACTTTATTGGTTTTTCAGGCTTGGTTAAGTGCTCCTGGTAATAAGGATTAGTGGTGAAGCTACCTAATTGTACGCTGGGGCTCAGTTTTGAAAATAAGCCCATTAAATATTTCATTGCTTTATACCATTTTGTCTTATTGCCTCAGTCTCCACTTTTGATGGAAGTGGATGATTGAAAGAATGCTGAACATCTCTGTCTGAGGAAGTACACGAGCTGAGGGCCCAGCATAGTTGGGTCCAGGACCTCACCCGACGTGTGGTCCCTTGTCCTTGTTGCCCTCGTGAGCAGTGTTATCCCCAGGGCCGCTGTGGGTCCCAGCAGCACAGGCTGTTCAGAACACTGCGTCAGGCCCAACATCTCCGTCTGTCTTTTGCTTTCTGGTCAGTGGTGCTTCTGCCCACCTGGCTGCTTAGGTGGCAAACTTGTCATCTCCCTTTTTCAACACACGTCAGTACTTGAATGGTTGTCAGATCTGCGTCTCATCTGCACTGCTGCTCTTGGTTCCGGCCCCAGGTCTCAACCATGACTGCTGTGTTGGCCTGATGTCTGCTGCGTTGCCGCTCTGTGGGTGTGTCGGCTCATGGTTCTCCTGACTGAATGGCTTCATTAAACCCAGACTATGGTATGAAAACTGACACACAAGGCCTTACGGCAGGAGCGTCACGATGGCTCTGACATAACCTCCCGCCCTTGTTCCAGCCTCTCTGGTTTCTTGTTTACTCCTGAAATAACCAAACGTTATCCTGCCTCAGGGTTTTCAGCATTACTGCTCATTTTATGTGGGTTTCCTTGACTGGCTCCTGGGAAAGCAAATATCAACGGGCTTCGTCCATTGTTTACTAGGCGAGGTAATATCCTGTGAAGAGACTCAGCAGTGTTCACAGGAAGTGGTTCCCGCTTGGGCACAGTGCAGATGTAAAGTGTCAGAATGACCCCTTTATTTAGTGTCTGCTTTCTTGCTAAGAATGCTGTTTGTTGAAATCACAGACAACCGCTTTGTTGTCAGGAATGGTGGGTAGAAAGGAGACAGCCTGATCTCAGGAGGATGCCCTGGTCTGTATGTGAAGCAGTTTCACACACGCGGCTTGTGGAAGCCACTCACACCTCTGTCTTGATTCTGTGCATTCTCGGGAAATAGCCTAGTCCACGTCACAGTTGAGACCTGGTGTTATCCCAATTACACCTCCCTGCCTTCTGTTCCCATTTAGATTCCACCTAAATGCCCCTCCCGTAAATGCTGTAACGTCCCCTATCTCTGCGGTGAGGTGCCCTGTGCATCTGAGTATAGTCTGCCTGGGAATAAGACAGTAAACTGGGGTTACACAGGTTAGTCCCTGTTGGCTTGGGATGCTTGGGCTAGGACAGTCTTCATCTTGGATTTTGTCGCTTCCTCTCCCATTCCCCATTCGCAGTTTGACCCTTTGCATTGGGTATATTTCTAGGAGTTGGGAGGGAACACCAGGGGAGATCTTCCTTTCCTGATGTCTGTAGTTACATTCCCTCTCTGAAACCCATCTGGGCCCTGTTAAAACCACCTGTTCCTTGGTCCATTCTGCTTAAGGGCTCAGGGTTTACTTTTTTTTTTTATTTTTTATTTTTTTTTAACTTTTATTTAATGAATATACGTTTCCAAAGTACGAATAATGGATTACTATGGCTTCCCCCCCATACCGTCCCTCCCACCCACAACCCTCCCCTTTCCCACTCCCTCTCCCCTTCCATTCACATCAAGATTCACTTTCGATTATCTTAATATACAGAAGATCAGCTTAGTATACATTAAGTAAGGATTTCAACAGTTTGCTCCCACACAGAAACATAAAGTGAAAAATAATAGATGATTTTTTTTTAATGATGATGAAATCAGATCAGACCTATTGTCATGTTTAATCCCAGTGAGAGTCAAGTTGGGAGTTGATAGTTTCTTTTCTTTTCTTTTCTTTTTTTTTTTTTTTTTACAGAGGATCAGTTTAGTATGCATTAAGTAAAGATTTCAACAGTTTGCACCCCCATAGAAACACAAAGTGAAATATATTGTTTGAGTACTCGTTATAGCATTAAATCTCAATGCACAGCACATTAAGGACAGAGATCCTACATGAGGAGTAAGTGCACAGTGACTCCTGTTGTTGACTTTACCAATTGACACTCCTGTCTATGGCATCAGTAATCTCCCTATGCTCCAGTCATGAGTTTCCAAGGCTATGGAAGCTTTCTGAGTTCTCCGATTCTTATCTTGTTTAGACAAGGTCATAGTCAAAGTGGAGGTTCTCTCCTTCCTTCAGAGAAAGGTACCTCCTTCTTTGAAGACCTGTTCTTTCCACTGAGATCTCACTCACAGAGATCTTTTGCCAGAGTGTCTTGGCTTTCCATGCCTGAAATACTCTCATGGGCTTTTCAGCCAGATCCGAATGCCTTTAGGGCTGATTCTGAGGCCAGAGTGCTATTTAGGACATCTGCCATTCTATGAGTCTGTTGAGTATCTCACTTCCCATGTTGGATCACTCTCCCCTTTATTTATTCTATCGGTTAGTGTTAGCAGGTACTAGACTTGCTTATGTGCTCCCTTTGACTCTTAGTCCTTTATTATGATCAATTGTGAACTGAAATTGATCACTTGGACTAGTGAGATGGCATTGGTACATGCCACCTTGATGGGATTAAATTGGAGTCCTCAGGGTTTACTTTAAGATCAGAGTATGGTTGTGGTCTGATGAGGGTAATGGAGAAGACTGGAGACTGAAGGCGGTTTCCTCCATTTGGGACTTCCCAGCTCTAGAACCTTGAGTTTGGGGACTGGAGCTGTGGCGTAGTGGGTAAAGCTGCCACCTGCAGTGCCGGCATCCTGTTTGGCACCTGTTCGAGACCCAGCTGCTCCACTTCTGATCGAAGCTCTCTGCTGTGGCCTGGGAAAGCAGTAGAAGATGGCCCAAGTTCTTGGGCCCCTGCACCCACATGGGAGACCCGGAAGAAGCTCCTGTCTCCTGGCTTCAGGGCAGCACAGCTCTGGCCATTGTGGCCATCTGGGTGGTGAACCAGCGGATGGAAGACCTCTCTGCTTCTGCCCCTCTCTCTAACTCTGCTTTCAAATAAATAAATAAATCTTAAAAAAAAAAAAAAATAGAACTTTGAGTCCAGCAAATGTCTGGGTATAATTTTTCCAGCCTGGTATCCTAACACAATAGAAGATGGACTAGGACAGGGATGATGTTGTCAGTTAGGAATTGGGGTTAAGGTTAGAGTCTAGGATTACAGAGCCAGGCTCGGTTCACAGAGTTGAGCTGATTCCTTTTGTAACAGCTTCATCACTGATCTCTAACTCTTCAGTGGAGCCCTTGGCAGAGCTCATATTAATGTGTGAGAAGAGATCTGGCTTTCTAATGTGTTCTTTAAATGCCATGACCTCAAACAAACAGGTGAGTATTTCAGCAACATTTGATTTTCTTGGTTTATTTTGGGAGGTGAATAGAGCACCCATCCTCTCCACTTCTGAATCCCTGCAGTGATCAGCGGAACAGGGCCAAAGCCAGGAGCTGTGAACTCAGTACAGGCCTCTCCTGTGGGTGGCAGGGACCCAACTACGAGCCATCACCACTGCCTCCCAAGGTCTGCAGTAGTGGGGAGCTGGGATCAGGGAGTGGAGCCCAGACTATTACAGGAAGCAGGTGTCAAAGTGGCCTCAACCACCAGGCCCAGCACCACCTCTAGTTTTCTTTCTTAAACATGGTTACTGATTTTTTTTAAGGGGTGCATCCAACCTTGGAACCTGGTGGATTTTTGAATCAGATTGCTAAGGCTGTAATCCTTGCTCTAGGTGAGCTTTGTCTGATTAAACTTTTTTTTTTTTTGACAGGCAGAGTTAGAGACAGAGGACAGAGAGAAAGGTCTTCCTTCCATTGGTTCAACCCTCAAATGGTTGCTACAGCCTGCGCACTGTGCAGATCCAAAGCCAGGAGCCAGGTGCTTCCTCCTGGTCTCCCATGTGGGTTCAGGGCCCAAGCACTTGGGCCATCTTCTACTGCTATCCCAGGCCACAGCAGAGAGCTGGACTGGAAGAGGAGCAACTGAGACAGAATCCGGCGCCCCGACCAGGACTAGAACCCGGGGTGCTGGCGTCACAGGTGGAGGATTAGCCTAGTGAGCTGTGGCGCCAGCCACATTTTTTTTTTTTTTTTAAAGATTTATTTACTTACTTGAAAGAACTACACAAAGAGGAGAGGCAGAGAGAGATCCGCTGGTTCACTCCCCAGATGGCTGCCACGGCCAGAGCTGTGCCAATCAGGAGATAGGAGCTTCCTCTGGGCCTCCCACGTAGGTGCAGGGGCCCAAGGACTTGGGCCATCTTCCACTGCTTTCCCAGGCCATAGCAGAGAGCTGGATCAGAAGTGGAGCAGCCAGGACTCCGACCGGTGCCCATATGGAATGCCGGCACTGCAGGTGGTGGCTTTACCCATTACATCACAGTGCCAGCCCCTACTGAATCTTATAGTAGACATTTTCTGATAGCAATTTTAAATTTCTCTTGGTTGCTCTACAAGCTACATTTGTGTGATTTTCTCCAAATGCTGAAGAAAGTTTTCACCTACCTTTTAAAAAAAGATTTATTTACTTATTTGAAAGGCAGTTAGAGGGAGAGACAGATCTTCCATCCACTGGCTTGCTCCCCAAATGGCCACAATGGCTGGAGCTAGGCTGATCCAAAACCAGGAGCCAGGGGTACATCTTGCGGGTCTCCCATGTGGGTGAAGGGGCTGAAGGACTTGGGTCATCCTCTGCTGCTTTCCCAGGCGCATTAGCAGTGAGCTAAATCAGAAGTGGAGCAGCTGGGACTTGAACCTGCACCCGTATGGCATGCTGGCACCACAGGCAACTTTACCTGCTTTGCCTTAGTGTTGACCTCTCACCTACTTTCTTTATTGCTTATGATAAGTTTACCAACCTCAGGTCCATCAGTTTTCTGTGGACTAAGCATCTTTTGTTCCTCCTGAATGAGAATGCACCCAAGAACAATCTCCCCAGATTCAGGCTCTAGGCTCGCTGGCCTCTCACAAGCCACGTATCCGTGAATGAAACTAAGTGCTGGTTGGGCCTCCCCACCAACCTATGACCCTTGATGTTCCTTGGCCCACTTGGCACAGAATCAGCATGTCCTCTCATGTCGCTGACCTGTCCTGGCGCTAGCTTGCATCCTAGAGTCTAGGTGGCATCTGTATAGGTTAGACTGCAAAGCACCCGAGTGTCTGGTTTATTTCTCAAATGCCTTTGAGAGCTGCAGCTGGGCCAGGCCAAAGCCAGGAGCCAGAAACTCAATCTGTACCCCCCATGTAATTGGTAGGAGCCCAGTTGAGTCCTTGAAGGGGGATATGTGGCTGGCCTGTAAGTCCAGGGTTTGATGCTATGACGTTGTCCAGCTAACCTTGGGTCTCCTCAGTGATTGGAATTCAGGCAGATGGAGTCAGGGCAGGTGGGTGAAGGCCAGGGGTCAAGTTAGGGCTTTTGCTAGTTTTGTTTAATTTTATTTAATTGAAAGGCAGAGACAAATGGAGTGATCTTCCATCCTTTGCTTCACTTCCTAAATGCCTACAATAGCCAGGAGGCAGGACTCCATCTGTGTTTGCCATGTGGGTGGCGGGGGCCCAATTGAGCCATCACCACTGCCTGGCGGGGTACATTTAACAGGAAGCTGGAATAGTGAGTGGAGCCAGGGCATCAGCTGAACACTCCAGTCTAGGATGTGGGTGTACCAGGGTTGGTTAGTTTTAGGGTGGTTTGAGCTAGGATTGGGCTTAAATAGGGATGAAACCTGGAGCAAGGGATATGGTTGATGTTAGGTATTAGTGATAGTTTGACACCAGGGTTGAGGTTGGAATTGGGTCCAATGTTAGGTCTTAGGGTTGGGGTTATAGTAGGTTAGGTATTAAGAATAGAGCTCGAGTCTTAGGGTTAGGGATTTAAGATTAAGGTCAGAGGATAGGGTTGTTAGGGTTAGCTTTAGGGGATAGGGTTAAGTGTTAGGTTTAGGGTATGGGAGATTAGGCTATAAGGGTTAAGGATAGGATTTGGGTTGGGGTTTCGAGTTACAGTTAAGGCTTAAGGGGGCTAGGGTTGTTAGTGTTACAGTTGGGTGAGGGTTAGGGCTACTGCCTGACAATGGTCAGGGTTTGGGGTTAGGGTAGAATATGGGCTATGGTTTTAAGGTTGGGGTAGGTTTAAGGGCTATGGTTATTGGTATGGATAGGGTTTAGTGTTGGAGTCAAGCTATAGGATTTGGGTTAGGGTAGGGGTTAGCACTGTGTTAGGGTTAGGTTTGGAGTTGAGATAGGGTTACAGTTAGGGGTGGAGGTAAGGGCTTAGGGTCCATGTCAGTGTCAAGGTCTGGTTTAGGGTTAGGGTGGTTAGGATCTAGGGGTCAGGAGATGGGATTGGGATCAGGGTTTAGGGTTAGTTTTAGGGTTGAAGGTTAGAGTGTGAGTTAAGGGTTCAGAATTGGGTTGTTTAGGTTAGGGTTAGAGCTAAGGTTTAGGATTATGGTATAGGGTTATGGTTAGGGCTGGGATTAGCATTTGGGATTAAAGTTGGGGTAGGGTATAGAGTATGAGTTAGGGTTAGTGCTAGTTCTAGGATTCTTGGTTTAGGGTAAAGGGTAGAGGCTTGCAGTTGAGGGTTAAGTCTAGGGTGTTAGGGTTTTACAGTTTTAGGGTTAGTGGGGTGGGTTTGATGGGGATAGAGTTATGGTTGGGGTTTTAGGGTTATGGTTGGAGTTTTAGATATAGGGTTTGGTTTAGTGTCAAGGGTCGGGTAGGATAGGATTAACTGGGGGTTAACTTTTGAGGACTGGGTTTGGGGTTAGGGTTTAAGTTTGGGGCTGGGACTAGGGGTTGGAGTTGGGGTTAGGTTTTAGGGTTAAGGATAGAGATAGGAGCCAGTGCCGCGGCTCACTAGGCTATTCCTCCGCCTTGTGGTGCCGGCACACCGGGTTCTAGTCCCGGTCAGGGCACCGGATTCTGTCCCGGTTGCCCCTCTTCCAGGCCAGCTCTCTGCTGTGGCCCGGAAAGGCAGTGGAGGATGGCCCAAGTGCTTGGGCCCTGCACCCCATGGGAGACCAGGATAAGTACCTGGCTCCTGCCATCAGATCAGCGCGGTGTGCCGGCTGCAGCGCGCTGGCCGTGGCGGCCATTGGAGGGTGAACCAACGGCAAAAGGAAGACATTTCTCTCCTACTTACATATGTGAAAGGCAGAATTACATGGGGAGACAGAAAGAAAGAGAAAGAGAGACAGAAAGAAAATCTTCCATCTGCTGCCTCACTCTCCAAATGGCCACAATAGCCAGGCCTGGGCCAGGCCGAAGCCAGGAGCCTGGAGCTTCTTCCAGGTCTCCCACATGGATGCAGGGGCTCCTTTTGCTGCATTCCTGGAAGCAGTAGCAGGGAGTGGTTTGGAAGTGGAGCAGATGGGACTTAAACCCAGTGCCCACATGGGACACGGTGCTGCAGGTGGCAGCGTAACTTGCTGTACCATGGCGCTGGCCCCTCCAGAGATTTTTTTTTTATTTTTTAGATTTATTTTATTTATTTGAAAGAGTTACAGAGGGAGGTAGAGCCAGAGAGAGAGAGAGAGGTCTTCCATTCCACTGGTTCACTCCCCAAATGACCGCAACGGCCAGAGCTGAGCTGATCTGAAGCCAGGAGCCAGGAGCTTCTTCCAGGTCTCCCACATGGGTGCAGGGGCCCGAGGACTTGGGCCATCTTCTACTGCTTTCCCAGGCCATAGCAGAGAGCTGGATCGGAAGTGGAGCAGCAGGGACACAAGCTGGTGCCCATATGGGATGTTGGTGCTTCAGGTGGTGTCTTTAACCTGCTGTGCCACAGCACCGGTCCCCAGAGACTTTCGCTGACCTGAAAAAAAAAAAGGAACAGAAGGTGAAGGGGTAGGTAAATCTTATTATATGGGGTGAAACACATTTTTGGATTACAAATCACTCTAAGCTTGGATGCCCCGAGACAAGAGACTTGTTCTCTCTGCCTTATGAGAGTACTTAAAAAAAAAATTCACAGAAAAAATGCAATTAAGAGATCAGGTTTTTATGGTACAAAACATTTTGAAATCCCGGCTGGTGTTGTAGCTCAGTGGGTTAAATCACCACTTCAATGCCAACATCTCATGTCAGAGTGCCAGACTGACTGCTGGAGACTTTGCTTCCCATCCAGCTTTCTGCTAATGCATCTGGGAAGGCAGCAGATGACAACTCAGCATGCTAACCCATGTGGAAGACCTGGATGCAGCTTATGGATCTTCCAATAGATGCAAGATTCTCTCATTCTCTCTCTCCCTTCCCTTTCTGTCACTCTGCCTTTCAATTAAGTAAATTAAAAACACTGAAATTCATGCAGCTGTTTCTTAATACATACATTCCATGAACATTTTTTAATTCCTCATATAATCAAGTAAAAGAGCAACTGAAGCTGTCATAGAGTTGTATTTCATCAATAAACCTGCAATAGATTCCAATAATAATTCAAATTCTCTGTATATTTGAAAGACAGAGAGAGAAAGAGAGAGAGAATTTCCATTTGCCGGTTTACTTCCCAAATGCCTGCAATAGCCAAGGCTGGGCCAGGCCAAAGCCTGGAGCTAGAAACTCAATTCAGATTTCCCACATGGATGGTAGGGACCCTGCTGCTTTCCAGGGTGCACATTAGCAGGAACTGGAATTAAAGTGGATCCAAGCACTCCCATTTGGGTTGCAAATGTCTCAAGCAACATCTCAATCACCATGCCAAACATCCAACCCATGATTCCAATTCTGATTCCAATACAATGGCCAAATGTTCCTAAGTTCCACTTCCTTTAGGCACTGTACATCTTTAAAAGTGACTGTTATTCTCCCCATTTGCAAATAAGGGGATAGCCCAGGGAGGTTGAGTGATCTACACATTTAGTGTTTGAAAGATGTGGGGCCGGTACGCAGCTCAATAGGCTAATCCTCCACCTGTGGCCCCAGCACCCGGGGTTCTAGTCCCAGTTGGGGTGCCAGATTCTGTCCCGGTTGCTCCTCTTCCAGTCCAACTCTCTGCTGTGGCCCGGAAAGGCAGTGGAGGATGGAGCAGGTCCTTGGGCCCCGCACCCTCATGGGAGACCGGGAGAAGCACCTGGCTCCTGGCTTCAGATCATCAGCCATTGCGGAGTGAATCAACGGAAAAGGAAGACCTTTCTGTCTCTCTCACTGTCCACTCTGCCTGTCAAAAAAAAAAAAAAAAAAAAAAAAAGAGGTGGGACTCAGATCTTGTTCTACTGACTCTCCTGCTCAGTGCCCTGGCCTCTTCACTAAAGCTGAGTGTATTTTGTTCCCAAACTACTTGAGTACAGATGAACAAATCAAGGCAGAATCATTGATTGTTTCTCTTGGGATTCAGCGAGTTCAAAATGAAGGTATGGGTGAGAATCAAGAGTTACAGGAGTATTTATAGCATTAGTGTAATGGATTATAGGGTTTTATATGAAGAATAATGTATTTTACCATTTGGAAATCTGAAATATGTAAATATTCTCTGTATGAGACATTTTATATGGAGTTATCATGCAATAATTGTAAGACAGACTTCAAAATAATTTTTGATTCTGTATCTTAACAAGAGAAGGTGGTTGATGGCAACTTCTTTTTTCCATTTGGAAGACATTTGTGGACAGCAGATAGTAAAATTGTACATGCAATGGTTTCACAACTCAGTTATTCTCTGAGAACATATCTCTCATAGTGATAAGACAGACAGAGACACAGGAATTTTCGAAGGAATTAGCAAATAAAGTGGAGTACAATCCTCAGGTAATATGAATATTATATACTAGTTAAAGTGTTATATCTAAATGCATGTACTTCACAAAAAGACAAACTCTGATGTAGTGCATAAGGATATGTTGCATGCTGTGGGAATACTATTATACTAGTTACTTAAGTTCTTAAAAAATTCTCTATGGATGCCTAAGTCATTACTAACATGGAATGATTGAGAGGAAACACACTCAACAAAATTCATGACCGTGGTTGTATTTGGGGGACAGATGCACAGAGGAATGGTTCCATGTAGGGATACAAAGAAACAAACTGTATTGGTAACATTTTAAATATCTTCAAATTATGAGTTTTCATGCAAATATTAAATATTTATATCTTCATATGGTAGTGGGTATTAATGATAATGATAATAATGCACTGTACCCTGCAAAAATGTAAAAATACTGCAAGTTCATAAGCCCAGGACATGATGGCTTCATTGCTGAATTATACCAGACTTTTAAAGAACTAAATCCAAATCTTCTCAAACTATTCAAAACAATTGAAAAGGAAGAAATCCTCCCAAACTCCTTCTATGATGCCAGCATCACCTTAATTCCAAAAACAGGAAAAAATACAACACAGAAAGAGAACAACAGACCAATATTGCTGATGAACATAGATGCAAAAATCCTCAACAAAATACTAGCTAATCAAATCCAACAACACATCAGAAAGATCATTAACCTGAACCAAGAGGGATTTATCCTTAGTATGCAGGGATGGTTCAACATATGCAAATCAATAAATGTGATATATCACATTTACAAAATAAAGACCAAAACCCATTTGATTATCTCAATAGATACAAAGAAAGCATTTGATAAAATATAAAATCCTTTCATGATAAAAACCTTATGCAAATATGGTATAGAGGAACATTCTTCAATGCAATCAAGGCAGTTTAGGACAAACCCTCAGCCAGCATCATACTGAATAGTGAAAAGTTGAAGGCATTCCCATTCAGATCCAGAACCAGACAAGGATGCCCAATTTCACCACTGCTAATGAATATAGTCTTGGAAGTTTCAGCCAGAGATATTAGGAAAGAAAAATAAATCAAAGGTATACAAACTGGAAAGGAAGAAGTCAAATTATCCCTGTTTGCAGATGACACAATTCTATATATAGGGAATCCAGGGCCAGCGCTGTGGCACAGCAGGTTAATGCCCTGGCCTGAAGCACCAGCATCCCATATGGGCACCGGTTCAAGCCCCAGCTGCTCCATTTCTGATCCAGCTCTCTGCTATGGCCTGGGAAAGCAGTAGAAGATGGCCCAAGTCCTTGGGCCCCTGCATCCACATGGGAGACCTGGAAGAAGCTCCTGGCTCCTGGCTTCGGATCAGCGCAGCTCCAGCCGTTGCGGCCAATTGGGGAGTAAACCAGTGAATGGAAGACTCTCTCTCTCTCTCTCTCTCTCTCTCTCTCTCTGCCTCTCCTCTCTCTGTGTAACTCTGACTTTCAGATATATATATATATATATATATATATATATAATCAAAAAGACTCCACTACGAGACTATTGGAACTCATAAGAGAGTTTGGTAAAGTTTCAGGATATAAAATCAACACAGAAAAATCAATAGCCTTTGTATATACAATGCCCTGGTTGAGAAAGAACTTGTAATATCAATCCTATTCACAATAGCTACAAAAAATTTAAAAGTTGTAGAATAAATTTAACCAAGGAGGTGAAAGCTCTACAATAAAAATTTTAAAACATAAAAAAAAGATATAGAGAAGACACATAAAGAAATGGAAAAATAGTCCATGTTCATGGATAAGAAGAATTAATATCATCAAAATGTTCATCCTATTCACTGCAATTTACAGATTCAATGTCATCCCAATCAAAATACCAATGACATTCTTCAAAGACCTAGAAAAAGTGATGCTAGAATTCATATGAAAACACAAGAGACCCCAAATAGCTAAAGCAACTGTAAACAAAAACAAAGCTGGTAGCATCACAATACCAGATTTCAAGAGATACCACAGGACAGTTATAATCAAAACAGCCTGGCACTGGTATAGAAATAGACATGTAGACCATTGACTAGAATAGAATCCCCAGAAATTAATCCAAACATCTACAACCAACTAATCTTTGACAAAGAGGCTAAAATAAATCCCTGGAGCAAGGACAGTCTCCTTAACAAATGGTGCTGGAAAAACTGGATCTCCATATGCGGAAGTATGAAGCAAGACCCCTATCTTACACCTTACACCTTATACAAAAACCCACTCAAAATCTATGACCTAATACCATCAAATTATTAGAGAACATTGGGAAAACCTGAAAGATATTGGCATAGGCAAATAATTCTTAGAAAAGGCCCTAAAGGCACAGGCAATGAAAGCCAAAATTGGGCCAGTGCCGCAGCTCAATAGGCTAATCCACCGCCTAGCAGCGCCAGCACACTGGGTTCTAGTCCCGGTCGGGGTGCCGGATTCTCTCCCGGTTGCCCCTCTTCCAGGCCAGCTCTCTGCTGTGGCCCGGGAAGGCAGTGGAGGATGGCCCAAGTGCTTGGGCCCTGCACCCCATGGGAGACCAGGAGAAGCACGTGGCTCCTGGCTTTGGATCAGCGTGGTGCGCCGGCCGCAGCGCACCAGCCGTGGCGGCCATTGGAGGGTGAACCAACGGCAAAGGAAGACCTTTCTCTCTGTCTCTCTCTCTCACTATCCACTCTGCCTATCAAAAAAAAAAAAAAAAAAAAAGGCCGGCGCCGCGGCTCACTGGGCTAATCCTCCGCCTAGCGGCGCTGGCACACCGGGTTCTAGTCCCGGTTGGGGCACCGGATTCTGTCCCGGTTGCCCCTCTTCCAGGCCAGCTCTCTGCTGTGGCCAGGGAGTGCAGTGGAGGATGGCCCAGGTGCTTGGGCCCTGCACCCCATGGGAGACCAGGAGAAGCACGTGGCTCCTGGCTCCTGCCATCGGATCAGCGCGGTGCGCCGGCCGCAGCGCGCCGGCCGCGGCGGCCATTGGAGGGTGAACCAACGGCAAAGGAAGACCTTTCTCTCTGTCTCTCTCTCTCACTGTCCACTCTGCCTGTCAAAAAAAAAAAAAAAAAAGAAATTATGGGATATGTACACCATGGAATACTATGCAGTGATAAAAAAAAAAGGAAGGGAGGGAGGGAAGGAAGGAAGGAAGGAGGAAAATCATTTGAAACAAAATGGATGAAACTGGAAAACATCATACTTAGTGAAAGAAGCCAGTGCCAAAGGGACAAATACCACATGGTCTCCCTGTGATAACTAATACAGCACCTAAAAGGCAATCTGTAGAAGTGAAATTGACACTGAGAAGCAATGACTTTGAACGGCCCTTGCCTCAACTGTAGAGGAACTTTCTTTTTCATACTATTTGTTGAACTCTTTATTTAACAGAGATAATCTTATGTGTATAAAGTTAATTGAAAATAGATTAAAGTAAAAATAAGAGTGGGAATAAAAGAGGGAGGAGAAAGGTGGGAATAAACACTGTGTTCCTAAAGTTGTAATTGTGAAATGTCAAAGTTTGTAACTGTAAAGTTACATACATAGTTCTGCATATATTACTATGGACTTGTTTTTAAGGGTACAATTTAAAACTTGCCACTGGGGCTGGCACTGTAGTGTAGTGGGTGAAGCTGCCGCTTGCAGTGCCAACATCTCATATGGGTGCTGGTTCGAGTCCAGGCTGCTCCACTGCCAATCCACCTCTCTGCTATGGCCTGGGGAAGCAGTAGAAGATGGCCAATGTCCTTGGGCCCCTGCACCCGCGTGGGAGACCTGGAGGAAGCTCCTGGCTCCTGGCTTTGGATTGGTGCAGCTCTGACTGTTGCAGCCATTTCAGGAGTAAATCAGTGGATGGAAGGCCTCTCCTCTCTCTCTGTAACTCTTTCAAATAAATAAATCTTAAAAAAAAAAATAAAAAAATAAAAAAAAAACTTGCCATGGGACTCCAAATCCCCTTAAGCTGGGTGGTACAAATAGCAACTTAAGTGTTGAAGTGGGGCTGGCACTGTGGTGCAGCAGGTTAAAGTCCTGGTCTGAAGTGCCTGGCATCCCATATTTCTCATATTTCCTGTTCTAGTCCCAGCTTCTCCTCTTCTGATCCAGCTCTCTGGTATGGCCTGGGAAAGCAGTAGAAGATGGCCCAAGTCCTTCAGCCCCTGCACGCACGTGGGAGACACAGAAGCTCCTGGATCCTGGCTTCGGATCGGCACAGCTCCAGCCATTGCAGCCATTGCAGCCATCTGGGGAGTGAACCAGCAGATGGAAGACTTCTCTCTCTGTCTCTACCTCTCTCTGTAACTTTTTCAAATAAGTAAAACAAATCTTTCTTTTTTTAAAAAAAGTGATGGCCAGCACCGTGGCTCACTAGACTAATACTCCGCCTGCAGCACCAGCACCCCGGGTTCTAGTCCCGGTAGGGGCGCTGGTTCTGTCCCGGTTGCTCCTCTTCCAGTCCAGCTCTCTGCTGTGGCCTGGGAGTGCAGTGGAGGATGGCCCAGGTCTTTGGGCCCTGCACCCGCGTGGGAGACCAGGAGGAAACACCTGGCTCCTGGCTTTGGATCGGCGGGCCACAACACGCCAGCCATAGCAGCCACTTGGTGGGTGAACCAACAGAAAAAGGAAGACCTTTTTTTCTGTCTCTTTCTCTCTCTCTCTCTCAACTCCACCTGTCAAAAAATTTTTTTAAAAAGTGTTCAAGTGAGCCGGTGCCGCGGCTCACTAGGCTAATCCTCCGCCTTGCGGCTCCAGCACACCGGGTTCTAGTCCTGGTCGGGGTGCCGGATTCTATCCCAGTTGCCCCTCTTCCAGGCCAGCTCTCTGCTGTGGCCCGGGAAGGCAGTGGAGGATGGCCCAAGTGCTTGGGCCCTGCACCCCATGGGAGACCAGGAGAAGCACCTGGCTCCTGCCATCGGATCAGCGCGGTGCGCCGGCTGCAGTGCACCAGCCATGGCGGCCATTGGAGGGTGAACCAACGGCAAAAGGAGGACCTTTCTCTCTGTCTCTCTCTCTCTTACTGTCCACTCTGCCTGTCAAAAAAAAAAAAAAGTGTTCAAGTGAACATATGAATAGGATTAAGCATTAAAGTGATCATATAGGTAGTATTAAGTGTTAAAGTGATCATGTAAATAGGATTAAGTGTTTGGTAATAATAACAGAATTAAAAAGGAGGGAATGTCCAACATGGGAAGTAGTCCACACAGCAAACTCATAGAATGTCAAGCACTTTAAGCAGAACTCTGACCTCAGAATCAGCCCTTAAGTCATTCTGATCTGGCTAAAAAGTCCATGAGAGCATTTCAGGCATGGAAAGCCAAGACACTGTGGCAAAAAGTGACCTACAT